GGGGGGGGGGCTATGGCGGGAGAGAGGAACGACTTTGGCAGGAGGAAGGAGGGAGGACTATGGAGGGAGAGTGTACGGAGGACTTTGGCGGGAGGGAGGAGGGAGGACTATGGCAGGAGGAAGGAGGGAGGAGGAAGGAGGGAGAGAAGAAGAAGAAGAAGAAGAAGAAGAAGAAGAAGAAGAAGAAGAAGAAGAAGAAGGCAGCACAGGCAGTCTTCGTCGGGGGCAAGGATGGCATGTCTGGACGGCGACGATGATGGCATGGCTGGAGGGCAGCAGGGTGACGACGACGATGGCTCGGCAGGGCGATGATGACAATGGCGCGGACAACCACGGCAGGGCGACACTGGCACGGGGGGGTAGGGCGGAGGGTGCAGCGCCGCACGGTAAGTCCCAAGATTCAAATTTGAAATCTTGGGACTTCTGCACCATCGATCAACGCAGATCGATGGCCCAGCCCCCCCCAAAAAAAACCTACGGAATATGGCGTACCGGACCCCGAAAAATTTTGCAGGCGCCGCCAAAAAACAATTTCCCTCTGGGCCTCCAGCCTGCAGCGTGAATTTTATTTTTGAAAGCGATTTGGGAGGCGGCGCTGTGGGGGCCCGGGTGCCTGGCCGGGGGGGTCGCACGGCCGGGCGCCCAGGCTGGAAAGCTAGAATAATAATAAAAGTTTAAATTTCGAAAATAAATTTAAATAATACAAAATATACTAGAATTTCTGAAGTATATTTATATAATAGCATAATAGACAGTCTGTTTTCTCTGAAGAACAATTGGAGCATGCGAAAAATGCACGCACAGTACAGTGCAAGCACACAATGCACCGTATCTCACCCGAGCAACTTGACCGACTGGCTTGACTCATTAGGCGATGTGGCGAAATCCTGTGTGTGCGTTGCGTAGGTATGTTGTGGCAAAAGATCCAACGCACAATGTTGTATTCGTATCGCGCGACTATTACTCCGAGGACAAGCGGAGGCGAGCCTTTCGTGCGGGGGACTTGAATTGGATTGGACGGCTTCCAAGACCGGCGGAGTCTCTCCGGTGTAAGGCAAGTCCTCTCTTTCTCTCTCTCTCTCTCTCTCTCTCTCTCTCTCTCTCTCTCTCTCTCTCTCTCTCTC